TTTTTATTTTGGAATAAAGCTTGAATGCTATAAAGGCTCGACAGGGATATTGCGGGATTGGTTTAATACATTGATTTTGTAAATGATTGTAGTTATATATTTTTGAACTAAAATCACATTGCATCGCTTTTACCACGTCCTTTGTGGCACTCAGACATGTTTTTAGTACATGTTTAAACGTCACTTGCAACACACACTTAGGTCATATAATATTAAGTAGGCCTATCGAAGATTGGAGGTATTATAAGAGAAGCACAAACACATAAAAATGAGACCATAGGACACTAGATTAGATAGGAAAGAAGAAGCAGACCACACCAGAGCACCCAACAATCACCATGCACACCCAGATAGAGTAAAAGAGATGTATAGATAGACGAGCATATAGATAGATAGATAGATAGATAGATAGATAGATAGATAGATAGATAGATAGATAGAGAGAGAGAGAGAGAGAAAGAGAGAGAGAAAGAGAGAGATTCAGCTGATGTTCAAAATATACACGTGCATGGTTGATACTATAATGTAACACAGTTGGTTTTTACGTAATCGAGTTCATGAGGATAATTAGAGGAAAAACATTAAAAACAAAACAAAAACCTGAAACTATCTAATATTATGGATTCTCATATCTGTCTTCTGTCTGGTTGACAATGGGATGAAAGTTTGCTAGTCCTTCTAAATCGTTAATCTCCTTTTCAAACTGCATTTAGAGATTTCGATAATGTTTCCTTTTTCTTCTTTAATCCTCACTGGCGGCAGTATATCTCCCCCCTCCCGTTTTTAAAAAACAGGTTTTCCACAATGCAGTTCTCAACTCATACAAGATCCTATTATTATCTTTGTATAATACACGTTTTTGTAATTATTAATTTATTAAAAAGATACAAAATGCGAAAACTTTGTCCTCTACCAAAAGACCAAACTGGCATATCGTTTTTGGAGACTTTTTAACCATAACACCGCACAGACCCCTTGAACTTTACCTGTGCTGTGTGTTTCGTGTTTATTGTTGTTTATTCTGCTGCTAGAAACTAGAGCTTGAATACTGTGAGAGTGAAAACAAAAGTTCAGCAAAACACCAGAGACTATCAGGTTAAAAAAAAACAACAATACACGAGACTATTAACACATTCTAGAATCTAATTGTTTTATTTAGCCTACGACTACGGAAATGAGCTTGAAATGTGTCAACCTCGAATCAGATGTTTATCTTGTCTGTCTTACTCACGCACTGTCCACAGAGCGGGAGGAGATTATGGGCTTACTGATTGGTGAGGTGAGGAAATTATCCGTAAGAAATACCAACCTATGTTTTGTTTAACTATGAAGCTTAGTTCTATTATAAGTGAGTGTGACCAGTGCCGCCAGTGGGTGGCTTGTGACTCGCGACTGACACATCTCATCAAGCATGACCTAGCCTAATCATTCTTCTATTTCTCATAGTTCAGTGATCTGACAGTCTGAGAGGCAGTTTATAAAAATCTAAGGCTAAGTATTAGGCCTGCTGGTTCCCATGAAGAGCTGCAAATCTGTCTGTTTAAAAAAAAAATCTTAGTGAAATAGAGTAACAGATTTGATTTACGAAGTGTATACACAGACCCGTTAACCAGGAACAAAGTCACGAAGAAGTATACAGACCCTGAGGGAACTCTTTTGTGATTTCGGAAAGTTTCAGCGCCCAGACCCGGTAGTGTGTGTGTGTTTGTGTGTGTGTGTGTGTGTG